GGGGGGGGGGGGGTGGCGGTGGGTGGGTGGTAAGTGGAATGGGGTCAGAAAGGTGCTTCACTCATTCCTACTTCCATCAGATGACTGATCAACACATCAATCAATAATCTGTGTTACCACTCATGATGATGATGATGATGATGATGATGATGATGATGATGTTGATGACGATGACGATGATGATGACAATAATAATAATTATTATATTATAATGATAATAATGACAATGATGATAATGATGATGATGATAATGATGATTATGACAACAACAATAATAATAAAGAAATGATGATATAATAATAATAATATTAATGACGTTTATGATAATGATAATAATGATAATAATGATAATAATTATTTTAATACTGATAATAGTTATTATTATTTATATAATATATATATTTATAAATAATAATAATTATTATTATATTATTATTATTATTGTTATTATTATTATCATTATTTTATGATAATAATATTAATAATAATAATAATAATTATTATTATTATTATTATTATTATTATTACAATAATAATAATAATAGTAAAATAATAACAATAATAATTATTATTATTATTATGATAATTATGATAATAATAATAATGATCATGATAACAATAATGATAATATTAATAATAATGATATAATTAAAGCTGCGAGCAGCATTGGAGGCCCTTGCAGCAAAGCGCCGCTCCGGCCTAACGGTGACCGGGGAAGCTCCAGCTAGTCCACCCAGTCGCCATCACGAACGCTCTCGTGCCAATCCCACACGCGTTCACCACAGGGCACATTTCCCGAATCTTCGACATCGCCTTCCGTCCATGTCGTTACTTGTCCAGCTGCAGGTCGTACAAGTACAGGAGAAATCTGACCTTCCACACAGGAGTTATGGTGACTTCCTGTTTTGTGACGAATGTTTGACAAGTACTTCCTTTATGCTTTTCAACATGTCATGTGCGGTAATCAACAGTTAGCGAACAAAGTTTCAGTCTAATATCTTACACAGTGCCAAGCTGGAAGAGTCATCCAAGGCTTAAGTGATGTCATGAATCAACAATACCAATGTGTCTACAAGTGCTCACTGATCAAGCACAAAACCTCAGGTTCAGATTGGATGATGTATCACTGAGATATAACTGTTGGAATAATCTAGGGGGTGCACTAGAGTCATATGTTAAACCACAATATCAATGTGTCTAAAAGTCCTCACTGATGACTCACAATAAATCTGGTTCAGATCGATGTTGTATCACTGAACTATAACTGTAGGTATAATGTAGGTGGCGCTGTGGAGGCTATTGGCCACTAATCATGGATACCTGTTCAAGGGGTGGATAATGATCGATCGCAGTGATTTTGGTGCACCTCGACTGAAATCTGTGCAATTTAGAGCCAAACGTACAGGTCCTTCTCAAAAAATGAGCATATTGTGATAAAGGTCATTATTTTCCATAATGTAATGATAAAAATGAAACTTTCATATATTTCAGATTCATTGCACACCAACTGAAATATTTCAGGTCTTTAATTGTTTTAATACTGATGATTATGGCATACAGCTCATGAAAACCCAAAATGCCTGTCCCAAAAAATGAGCATATTTCATCCCACCAATGAAAGACAAGTGTTTTTAATACAAAAAACACAAACCTTCAAATAATCATGTTCAGTGATGCACTCAATACTTGGTCGGGAATCCTTTTGCATGAATGACTGCTTCAATGCGGCGTGGCATGGAGGCAATCAGCCTGTGGCACTGCTGAGGTGTTATGGAGGCCCAGGATGCTTCGATAGCGGCCTTAAGCTCATCCAGAGTGTTGGGTCTTGTGTCTCTCAACTTTCTCTTCACAATATCCCACAGGTTCTCTATGGGGTTCAGGTCAGGAGAGTTGGCAGGCCAATTGAGCACAGTAATACCATGGTCAGTAAACCATTTACCAGTGGTTTTGGCACTGTGAGCAGGTGCCAGGTCGTGCTGAAAAATGAAATCTTCATCTCCATAAAGCTTTTCAGCAGATGGAAGCATGAAGTGCTCCAAAATCTCCTGATAGCTAGCTGCATTGACCCTGCGCTTGATAAAACACAGTGGACCAACACCAGCAGATGACAAGACACCCCAGACCATCACTGACTGTGGGTGCTTCACACTGGACTTCTGGCATTTTGGCATTTCCTTCTCCCCAGTCTTCCTCCAGACTCTGGCACCTTGATTTCCGAATGACACGCAAAATTTGCTTTCATCCGAAAAAAGTACTTTGGACCACTGAGCAACAGTCCAGTGCTGCTTCTCTGTAGCCCAGGTCAGGCGCTTCTGCCGCTGTTTCTGGTTCAAAAGTGGCTTGACCTGGGGAATGTGGCACCTGTAGCCCATTTCCTGCACACGCCTGTGCACGGTGGCTCTGGATGTTTCTACTCCAGACTCAGTCCACTGCTTCCGCAGGTCCCCCAAGTTCTGGAATGGGCCCTTCTCCACAATCCTCCTCAGGGTCCGGTCACCTCTTCTCGTTGTGCAGCGTTTTCTGCCACACTTTTCCCTTCCCACAGACTTCCCACTGAGGTGCCTTGATACAGCACTCTGGGAACAGCCTATTCCTTCAGCAATTTCTTTCTGTGTCTTACCCTCTTGCTTGAGGGTGTCAATGATGGCCTTCTGGACAGCAGTCAGGTCGGTAGTCTTACCCATGATTGTGGTTTTGAGTAATGAACAAGGCTGGGAGTTTTTAAAAGCCTCAGGAATCTTTTGCAGGTGTTTAGAGTTACGTCGTTGATTCAGATGGTTAGGTTAATAGCTTGTTTAGAGAACCTTTTCATGATATGCTCATTTTTTGGGACAGGCATTTTGGGTTTTCATGAGCTGTATGCCATAATCATCAGTAGTAAAACAATTAAAGACCTGAAATATTTCAGTTGGTGTGCAATGAATCTGAAATATATGAAAGTTTCATTTTTATCATTACATTATGGAAAATAATGACCTTTATCACAGTATCCTAATTTTTTGAGAAGGACCTGTATTGCAACAGCGTCACTTCTTAATTTGCCATGCCGCCATGCCCACATCCTCAACCAAAAACGAATTGCGCTTTAAAGCAAGTCAGACCATCTTATCTATCTTCTAACACAGGATCATCCTGATTAGGTCAATGGTGTCAAAGAGGGAGTATTCAAAGTTAAAAAAATACTTCTTGTTCCGAGGAGGCTGGGCTTTGAACAAGTCAAAATATGACCACTGTGGATGGTCGGACATCCAACAGGGATGAGTCAAGCCAAGTTTTGTGCATTTCGGTCTTTTAATGTGAAAGTTATAGTGTGTGGAAATTTATGGCGTGAAGCGAAAATTTGAGGCCTGGCCACGCCCCTTTAACATATACGAAAACGCAAGCTTTAGATAACTTTTACTCTCCAATGTCTTAAGTCATCTTTCTTTATTTATTTGTAGAGCACAATTAAGGGCATATTAACCAAGTTTTAAGGCAATCCTTCAAAATTCCTAGGAGGAGTTTGTTAAAATTCGCAATTAGAAACACCCAAAAATGACCCTTTGACCCAAAATGGCTGACTTCCTGTTGGTTTTGGACCAGGGCTCCCAGAGACTTTTTCATAGGTCCTGAGAAGATACAGATGTTCACTGAGTTTCAGAATTATCGGTGAAAAAAATGGCTGAGGTCTTAAGATATTCTAAGGGGCGCTGTGGAGGCTATTGGCCACTTATCAAGGATTCCTGTTCAATGGGTGGACAATGATCGATCATAGTGATTTTGGTCCACCTCGGTTCAAAACTGTGCAATTTATAGCCAAACATATGGCGACGGCGTTATGTCTTACTTCGCCACGCCGCCCACATGCTCCACCCCAAACTGTCAGTGTTGGAAAGCAAGTTACACCAGCATGTCTTCGGTTACTGGACACACTATCATGCTGATCAGGTGACAGGGATCAGATAGGGATCGTTCAATGTAAGACTTTATACTTCTTGTTGTCAGGGGGCGTGGCTTAAGTGATGTCAAGATTTGACCATTCAGTCTTGCAGGAGACCGGATGTGGATCAATCACTGAAGGTTTGATGTCTCAGACAGTTTTCTTGTAGGAGCTATTAGTGTTTTGTTTTTCATGGCGAGATGTCAAACTTTGAGGTCTGGCCCCGCCCCTTCAACATGCTCCGAAACGAACCATTTAGATAACTTTGCGTCCGCCATGCCTTTTGACCAAAATGGCCAAGTTTGAAACCGATTGAGCAAAATCCCAATGAGGAGGAGTTAAAAAGCGGAGGCTGTAAACCGTCAAAAAGGTGTGAAAATTGGGCCAGCATTCCAAAATGGCCGCCTTCCTATTTATCGTACAACGTTGGTGCCGAGGGTTTTCTGTGCATCTTGGGGAATTGGACAAGTGTACCAAATTTCATGTTTCTACGACAAACTAAGGTTAATGTGGAGGGTATTTTGAAAATTTCTAGGTGGTGCTCTTGATCCGTTTCTGTTGCGATTTTTGCCACGCCCTTAAAATACGTAATTTTTCACCAGTCCTGATGCGTCCGCCACATTTGGTGACTTTTGGGATATGTTAAGGCCCCCAAAACGTCAATTCAGTTGACGGAATAAAATGGCAGCTCGGGCCTGAACAGAACGATTAAAATAGGCCTTCGAAGCAATGTGAAGGCCTAAATAATAATAATGATAATAATAATGATAATAATAATCCCTCTGGGTGTCCATGGGATGTTCTTTCACCACGTCTTCTTCGAGAGGTTTCCTTGTGTTTTGGACTCTGTACCTGCAGACGTCCCTGCTCATTTCAAACATGCTGCGGTGCAGAAACATTTCTTCAGGTAAAGGTCTTCATGGATGAACATAAACAACATCATGGATGTGTTCCAGTCTGGATTTAAAACTCTCCACAGCACAGAGTCCGCTCTGCTCAGTTTTTACTCACATCCTCGTGGCATGTGACTCAGGTGATCATGTGATCCTTGTGTTACTGGACTTAACTGCTGCTTTGGACACAGTGGACCACAGCATGTTATTGTCACGTCTACAACAGCACGGTGGGACTGCTCTGGGAACATGAAAGTATTATACATAAATATATATGAGGGGGAAAAAAGCAGAAAAAAATTATATATATGCGTGTGTGTGTGTATTTATATTTGATTCTCCATCTGTCCAGTAAATGATCAGATGTAACAGTAATTATGAATATTTAAAATCATTTGTAGATTGATTTTTTACTTTAAAACAAATAAGTCATAAACGTCAAAGCACATGATGAACTTGATGAAGATGATGAGGAGGATGAAGGTTGTACTCACTTCCCCAGCTCCTCGTACAGCTGATACTCATCAGAGAACCGCGTGCTGATAACTGTTGCCATGGTGACCCAGTGAGGTTAGGGTCAGGGGACTTCCTCCGAGGATGATGATGGCGATGAAGGACTGGTCCGTCTGTCAGGAGGAGGAGGAGGAGGTAAAGACAAAGAGCTCGGCTCTGAACGGAGTAGTAGGAAGAGGAGGATGGAGGGAGAGAGCAGTGAGGAAGAGCTGCGTCTCTCCGTCTCTTTGAGCCGATCTGCGACTCAGAACCCAAGACGGAACGGCTTTGAGAGGCTCAACCTGCCGCCCACTGCTCTGCTGGCCAATCACAGGCCAGGAAACCCACACACCGCATCACCATGGCAACTGCCTCCTCCATCTGAGCTGACAGCAACATTCGCCTCAAAGAGGGAACCACAGTACCAAACGTGGTTCAACTGGTCCCACGGTACCACACAGTACTGAACATGGTACATTCCAGTAGTTCTGATTCATTTTGAGCTTTGGGTCAAGAAGCTGTCAGCTCGTGGGATTTAAAGCCCCGCCCCAGACTTCATGAGGACAGTAATCTGATGTATCTGTTCAAACGTTGACCTGGAAGCCCACAAGGCAGCTGTCTAGGTCCTCTGCTTTCTAGTATTTCTGTAAAAGACATGTCACATGTATGGAGTATGGTAGCAGTATATACAGATGATACAACTTTATCAGTGTCTTCTGACAGTTTGGATCAGGATCATGAAAACTGTCGTCTGCTTCTGGGAGTCTGACAGAGGACAGGAGGAAACTGAATGAGTCTCTGAGGAAGACTCAGGAAGACTCGGATGAAGATTGAAGAAATGAAAGGCAGCAGAAAGAAGAAAAAATCTCATGTCTGCCCCTTTTTACCAAAAAATTAATTCAAACAATAATAATCTTCAAGTAACAAAAACAAAATAAATAACTCCTTCTCGAGCAACAATTCATACAAATATATATTAAGCTATTTCATATATTTTTTAAACAAATCAACTTTGATCATTCTCTTAAACATACACATTGATCTGGCCTTTTAACAGCACTCTACAGATTATTCCATAATCTAATTCCTTGGATTGAAGTAGACCGTCCCTTCAAACTAGTTCTAAATTAAAATTATTAACGTTAAAGGAAAAAATTAATATAGATCAACTTACAACGAAGAATAACTTTATTAACATCAGTCTGTAACAGAAACAACTTAAAGTTCATCAATTTGCCTGAAGATAAAAAAATCTATCCTAATTTAAATTGTAAACATTTTTGACCATTTGATACTGAAAAATAAGATTCAAAAAATAATTAATAATTAAAGCTGCGAGCAGCATTGGAGGCCCTTGCAGCAAAGCGCCGCTCCGGCCTAACGGTGACCGGGGAAGCTCCAGCTAGTCCACCCAGTCGCCATCACGAACGCTCTCGTGCCAATCCCACACGCGTTCACCACAGGGCACATTTCCCGAATCTTCGACATCGCCTTCCGTCCATGTCGTTACTTGTCCAGCTGCAGGTCGTACAAGTACAGGAGAAATCTGACCTTCCACACAGGAGTTATGGTGACTTCCTGTTTTGTGACGAATGTTTGACAAGTACTTCCTTTATGCTTTTCAACATGTCATGTGCGGTAATCAACAGTTAGCGAACAAAGTTTCAGTCTAATATCTTACACAGTGCCAAGCTGGAAGAGTCATCCAAGACAGTTTTTTCTCTGAGTAGGTGGGGCTTAAGTGATGTCATGAATCAACAATACCAATGTGTCTACAAGTGCTCACTGATCAAGCACAAGTCTCTGATGAGCTTCCTTCATCAGGCTGCTGGTGTTGTTGCTCCAGCTGAGGTTGTTGTTCAGGTGCACACCCAAGTACTTGTAGCTGGAGACCACTTCCACCGCAGATCCTCTTATGTTTGGGGGGATAAGGGGGGTGGGGTGGGGGGGGTCCTTCTGAAGTCCACAACCATCTCCTTCACCTTCTTCACATTGATGTGAAGGTTGTTCTTCCTGCACCAGCTCTCCAGGTGTTCCACCTCTTGCCTGTAGCTGGACTCAACGTTTGTGATGCATCCCACCACCGCTGTCTCATCTGCATCTAGAGGGGCCACTTGAGGTGATTCAGGCATGTCCAACTGGGAGGAGACCACAGGGAAGACCCAGGACATGCTGGAGAGACTTTCTCAGCTGACTGGGGACTCCTTAGAGTCATCCCAGTCGTCACTTCACCACTCGCTCCCCACGAGATCGGATGCTTCTCTCCCTCCCTCTCCGCTTTGCTTTGCTGCTCTGTCTGTCTGTGAAATTGCTGTGAGACTCTCTTGCATTTCTTCCGAACCATAATTATGGACTTGTTTTGACCAGTTGATCAGTTGGTCCCTCATCTCAATTTACAGCATTTCTTCAAGAGAAGACAGGCTTTGGGCGAGCCGATTTACCCTGTTGGCACGTACGCAGCTGGATATCTCATCGACTGGAAAACTTGATGATGTGTCTATCTCTGCTGCCATCTGTGGATTTTAAGGACGCATATTTAATTGGATTTTTGATAACTGGTTCCTGCTTTTTGGATTCAGCTGGTGCTGGTTTTATCTACAATCAAGGAAGTCTTCAGCAGCAAATTTGGACCCGATCACGCTGCTTGACTTTATGATGGCTGGGTTCATGTCTGGAGTACCTGGACTCGAATGCTTTGGGCTGAATGGATCAGATCTTGGGGATTTTTACTCAGACACGTTTCCATCGGTGTGGCCATGTTAATTTGACATTTTGGAACCGAGTGGACCAACACAGACTCAAGGTTGATGTCATTAAGTTCTGCCTGTCCCCAAAACAACTGTGTGTTTATCTAAATTTTGGTCGCCTTGGCTGGTCTTGAAGGCCATCTTATCTAAAGTCGCCTGGAGAAAATGTGAGCCGAACATATTTAACTAAATATTGTAACATATTCAGCTACATACTGTAACACATTTGGCTACATACTGTAACATATTTAACTACATATTGTAACATATTTAATTACATATTGTAACATATTTAACTACATATTGTAACATATTTAACTAC